GGCTGCGGGGCTCGGTGCAGCGCTGCGGGACGGCCATGCTGCGCCGCGGCCATACGGGTTTTGTTTCTCAGCAGCATCGTTGTGGGGAGAAGGGAGAAGTGGGGGGTGGTGGTGGTGGGGGGATGCTTTTCATTGTAAAAGATCAGAAAGGTGCTTGAACTGGTTGGAAGAGGTGGGGGAGCGAGAATAAGCAGCTGCCCCCCACCCCCCCCGCACCCCGAACCAACTGTGACCCCAGGAGCCCAGGGAGGGCAGCCCTCTCCTCACTGCTGTCTGGGGGCCGGATCCAGGACCCGGTCCCTCAAATCCTCCCTGAGATCAAGCAGAGAAACCCGACAGTGCGGGGAGGGGGGGGTCCCCGGCCCCAGCCCTGAGCATCCCAGGTGAAGCATCCAAATGTGCCTGGGATGCAGGGAGGGGGCGAGCGGGGAAACCCACCTACACACAGGGGGGCACGTGGCTCCCCTGGGCTCGGTCCTTCCACAGCTGCTGCACACCTGGAGGTAATTCGGAGCCGTGCTGCTCCGCCAGTTCTCATGCAGCATCCAAAGTCTGGGGAGGGGGCAGCCCGTGGGTGGGGGGCAGCCTCAGATCTTGCTGTTCTCCAGGTGCGAATCGATGTGCTTTATCAAAGCATCGTCCGGGTAACCGATGGGGAAAGCCAGCTGGCACAGCGGGCAGCTCCGGATCTCCGAGTCCACCGTCTCCAGCAGCAGCTGTGGGCACAGGGGCTGCTCTGAGCCCACCCACCCTGCAGGGCCGAGCCCCCATCCCCATCATCCCCCATCCCCATCATCCCCTGTCCCCATCATCCCCTGTCCCCATCATAGAATCATAGAATCATAGAATGGCCTGGGTTGAAAAGGACCACAATGATCATCTAGTTTCAACCCCCTGCTGTGTGCAGGTCACCAACCAGCAGCCCAGGCTGCCCAGAGCCACATCCAGCCTGGCCTTGAATGCCTGCAGGGATGGGGCATCCACAGCCTCCTTGGGCAACCTGTTCCAGTGCCTCACCACCCTCTGGCTGAAAAACTTCCTCCTAATATCTAACCTAAACCTGTCCTCCAGTTTAAAACCATTCCCCCTTGTCCTATCACTATCCACCTTCATAAACAGCTTTTCCCCCTCTTGTTTATATGCTCCCTTCAAGTACTGGAAGGACACAGTGAGGACACAGAGCTTTCTCTTCTCCAAGCTAAACAATCCCAGTTCCCTCAACCATCATCCCCATCCCCATCATCCCCCATCCCCATCATCCCCATCCCCATCATCTCCCATCCCCATCATCCCTTGTCCCCATCATCCCTTGTCCCCATCATCCCTTGTCCCCATCACCCCCCATTCCCTCTCCCTTGCATGGCACAGGTAGGGGACCCACAGGAGAAACTGAGGCATGCTGCAAGTTCGGGGGTCCCTGACCCCCCACCCACCCTCCACCCATCACACAGCGCCCCAGGGGGTGGGTGGGGGTCCCGCTTACATTGATAGAGGGCCAGGACTGGGCGTGCTCAGCCCTGGCATAGGCAGCAGCCGTCCGGTCAGGGATGGGGAATCCGGCACAGAAGGACGCACAGCGCACGGCCCCGGCCTCGGGGCTGGGAGGTCCGGGGTCCGCCCAGTCCTCTTCATCTGATGACTGCTTTTCAAAGCGCAGGTGCTCCTCGAAGGGCTCCCGGGCGCTCAGCGGTGCCCCCGCCCCCCCCAGGTACACCTCACCATAGGGCCGGTGCTTGGGAAGCGTGGAGGCTTCGGGCTGCAGCCAGAGCGCGCGGCTCTGCTGGTACGGGGCCACGTTGGTCACCTCCGAGTAGCTGCGACGGCCCTGGAAACCGGCCTTGATGTGGCGGCTGGAAGGTTTGGCGTAGCCCAGCTCCATTCTCTCGCCGGGCAGGCGGTGCGGCGACGCCGACGCCGGGGATGGGCACGGAGGTGGGGCCGGGGAACGGCGCTGCGGGGCGGGCGAGGGGCTGGAGGGGGGCACGGGCGAACGGCGCTGCTGGGCCGGAGACTGGCAGGGTCCTGGGGCGGGTGAACGGCGCTGCTGGGCTGGAGATTGGCACTGAGGGGCCGGTGAGCGCCGCTGCAGCGCTGGGGATTGGCATTGAGGGGCTGGAGGGCGGCCGGGAGCGGGCGAGGGGCACTGCGGGGCGGGCGAGCGGCGCTGCTGGGCTGGGGAATGGCACTGAGACAGAGGAGAATGGCGCTGACCTGCGGGGAGAAAGAGGGAAGGGGCACAGGAAATACCCCCGTTAGGTGGGCAGCGTTCCTCCTGTGTGTACTGGGGGGAGCTGGCAGGAGGGTGGCCCATGGGACGGCACTTCCCGGAGGGACACACCTGGGATGGATGGGGATGGGATGGAGCGATGCCCACAGGATGGATGCCCATAGGATGGCATTCCCGAGGAGAGATGCTCATAGGATGTGCCCCAGCAGGAGGGATTCCCCTCGGGATGGATGCCCATAGGATGGCAGTCCCAAAGAGTGGGGCTCGTAGGATGGATGCTTACAGGATGGGCACTCACAGGAGGGATGCTGATGGGACGGATGCATGCAGGAGCTCTGCACCAACTCTAGGATGAGGGCAGCCAGCACTCTCTGTTTCTTACAGCCCCATCACCCCAGGCTGCCCCCCTCCTTACCACCGTTGAGGCTCTTCTCCTGCAGCAGTGCACGGAGGATCTGGCTCTGCAGGGAGCTGAGGTTCCGCAGGCGGCACAGCTCCTCTGTCAGCTCCGTGTAGGCCAGTGCCAGGTTCACCCTGTGCCAAGGACAGAGCGTCACACAGGGCAATGCATGGCCCTCCTTGCACTAGGCGTGCCCAAACTCCCCCAAACTTGGACTTTTGCACTCAAAAGGGAAAAGTTATGGCCATGCATTGCTGCCCCAGGTGGTGGGAGAAGCAGGAGCACGGACACGGCGCTTCCCAACAGCTTTCCAAAGGCCCTGCCAAAATCATCAGATCTTCCTCAAATTGGGCGTCGCTGTTAAAAAAAAAAACAGATTCTCTGTGGTGATGTGAAGGGAGAACCCATCTCCTGTGGTACCCGCGGGGCTGTCAGGCTCTGTGAGCCCAGCAAGGTGACGTGAGCTGCTGTGACACCGCAGGGACCGGGAGCTGCTGTGCGTAACTGCAGCCGACAGGGCTGCCCCGTGCTGCTGGACTGTGAGGTTGTCGTGGGGGAAAGAGAGAGGGGGGAAAGAGGGAAAGAAGGGGGAATAGAAAGGAAGAAGAAGGGAAAGAGGAAGGGGAGAGGAAGGGGAGAGGAAGGGGAGAGGAAGGGGAGAGGAAGGGGA